GGAAACGGAGTAAGTTATCGATTATCGAAAACAAACTCGATCTGCGCGGGAACTAGGAGCATCTACATCTAAAATTTCCAGTCTCTAGCTCTTATAGGCTCTGAGATCCTTGCGTTCATACATACGGACGGACGGACAGACAGACGGACATGGCTAGATCGACTCGGCTATTGATGCTGATCAAGAATATATATACTTTATGGGGTCGGAGTCGGGGTTTTGCACAAATACAATTAAGGTTCAGGGTATAAAAAGAAAATCTGTATCAGAGTTTGAACCAATATCCGTTTCCGGCTGGTTCTATGCGCTGTGCGATGTCATTTAGGGACAGATTTATTTTAAAGATGAATGATGAAGATGATGAAATTACCCGAAATTGAATTTGATCCAGCGATTTGCCGCGTGTTGGTTCGACGCTTAAGTAACAACAAATTTATAACAAATGATAACCAGTAAATAATTAATAATAATATTTCATTAAATACGCTGTGGAAATGCCATAAAAACCGTCCAGAAATGTTGTGAGATTATCTCAAATGTGGCTTTGTTGGCGCCATTTGAGAGAACTCTTCTTGAACTAATTTAACTAAAAGGGCAAATGGAGCAGAATTGGCCGCATCGTTGTCCTCGCAAATGTATTTATCCTGCAGCACTTGAATGTAAGTAAATAGACCCGAGTAAGTCAGTGTGTATCTGTGTGTGTGTTTGTGTGTGTATATTTGTGTGTATGTGTATATCTGTCTGTGCGACAATAACAATGCCATTATTCTTCGAGGCTTTTGGCTCAATTTGAAATGGGGCTTTGCTGGCGGTTTGCCTGCGGCTCTGTCTCTCTGACAATCTGTTACTTACATTTAAGCGATTGCGGCCAGTTGCCACTGCCAGCAAATGGAATCAGGCGGAATGAAGCAATAAAGGAGCCTTACGCGAGTGAGCATCAAGCCGGAGTCAGGCGAAGATCTGCATATTTACAATGGCTGGACAGCAAGGACAACATTTCGCTGGCTATTCGGCTGATGAAACTCGGCGATTCCCAAACAAACTAAGATAGAATTGTTTAAGTGTTATATGGATACTGGTTGAGGATATACAACTGTTATACAGCTGTTGGGTGAGCTTTAAAGGAACTGTTATACGGCAATGACTCGAGTGTAGGATCAAAGGAAATTGGTATACTGCTGCAAGTTCCGGGAAAACTGTAATGCTGCAGTTACTCGGGGTGTGCGTTAAAAGGAACTGTTATACTGAGGTGTACTTTTTCAAGGAACTGTCACACAGGTGTTATTGGAATGTACTTTCTCCAGAAACTATCTAAAAATAGAGGGTGCTTAACCATCTGGTATAAGGCGTCTTCCCACAAATAATTGTAGAGTTGCCAGGGTACATCCTCAATAATTGTTGATATATAACAGTTCACCGAATAAGTAGTTGCCACTAAACTGTTATATAACTCTTGCCAAGGTTGCCCTTCGTATAACACCAATAAAAAATTAACAACAGTTCAAGCCAAATGTATGCCAAGTAGCATAATTTAGATCTCTGCTGGCCTCATTGGCAAAGTAGTTTTATTGTGCTGCATAGAAGGAGATGAAAGAGAATTATTTAAAAACTTTCCGAATTTGCTGCTCATACGGCATTTGGCTTAAATATATGGAGGCCATTAAAACAGCAAAATTTATGATTCCCCTTACGGACATGAAGTTTGTAATCCAACAGGGGCAAATGTTGCGAGTATTGTGGCAATGCGTTTGTAGGGTTGTCGCCTTAAATAATGCCAAAACTGTGGCCGGTTGTTGCCACCTCTACAAATGCTTAAACAAATGGATGTAAAGAGGGACTAAGAGGGCTCAGCTTCTAAGCTGCCCAACAAGCTGATACCCTGTATTCAGCTAAGCACCACAGAAATTTTCGAAAAATTGAAGCTATTCGAAAACCTCGTTTCCTGCGAAACTTTAGGTTGAGAGCTGGGCTCAAAACTGTCTATATCTGCATTTTTACAGGGTATTCAAATGTAACGACACACACACACATACATTCGCCGCACATCGTGACACGAGAAAGTCACGACACGCGCTCATCTCGAACGCACCGTGAAACGCACTTAAGGCCCATGTGATGCCCTCTTTACCCGTTGCCAGCCCCGCCTGCCCGTTTATATTGTTAATAAAACATTTTATTTTACGCCAAATGATTCTCATTTGTTGGACGCGTGTCCCGTCGTCTGTCTCCGTGTCTGTTCGCCTGTCACCGATGTCGGTTTGTGTGTCAGCTGCATTTAATTTGCTGGCCCACGTTGACTGTAAAAACGCGTCGTTGGCGAGTGAAATAAGAGTGGAATATAAAAATAAAACAAGAGAGAGAGAGCCAGCTCTAGGTGCGGCAGGCCGAAGACCGAATACACTTGCGGCTAAGAAAGGCTTTCAAACGAAAAGCTTTCTTTGATTCTCTAGGAGCTATTATGTCTTATATATATGTATAGCACTATATGGCAGGCCGATTTGATACGACCTGGCAGATATGTTGCGGACATTAATTCCGCCCTTTTATCTAGATAAATATACTATAGTTCCATATGATATTATAGTCCAATTTTGATCAGATATAATGCATATGTATAGCACATGGCAGAGCTTGTAAATGGAAAATTTGATCAAGACATCTTAAAGGAAATAGCTCGAGCAGCTATGGGATATAGCGCACCGATCTGACCGATTCCGACATTTGTATTGGAACTATGAAAGGGTTTTCGGGAAGAGAACTACAACTAGAACTAGAAAGCTTGACAGACGGACAAGTCTATATGCACACAGCTGTTGAAGCCGATCAAGATAAATATATATATATATACTACTCCTTTTTTGTGCTGACAAATTCGTCATACCCTGTTAGAGGGTATAAGGAGGTTGGCAGAGCTGCGAGCTCTTGGAATATATTTGCTGCATGCCCGTCAGTCAAAAGTTACTTAACACCCACGGAAATACACACACGACACACGACACACGACACACACACACACACACACAGAGGACACGCACAGAGCAAAGGATTAACGGCAAACACAAGAAATTACAGTTTTAAGCATATGAATTTAATGCAAAGAACAAACATGGCGTTTGGCAAATACAATAATGCCAGAGAGCTCTTTAATGCCGTGCTCTCTTTAAACGGCCATCAAGTACAGTCGCGCGGGCTGGTCGCAGGGGGTTGCCAGCCAGTTGGCCGCCCGCTGTGCGGTGCTGCCGTATGGCGCAAAACTTCCGTTGGTTATCCAGAAAACTGTACGGCGATGACAGCAATTGCCCCGGCCAGGAGCAAGCGTCAACGCTTCATTGGAATTTGGGCAATCATAAGTAGGACCTCGCTCGGGCTGCTGTCTGTCCAGCTATCACTCTCTATCTCTCTCTCTCCCTCTCACTCTCTCTCGCACTCTCTGTCTCTGTCTTTCTCGCTCTATCGCGCTGTCTGTCTGACTGTAACTGCCACTGGATCTGGCCCCATCGTTGCCCTTTTCGCTAAAAGGGAAATGCTACACAAAAAAGTAGAGTGCCTGCGGCAAACGAGGCAGCAGGGCCTGGTCTGGCATGCGGCATGGGGCATGTGGCATGTGGCATGGGGCAACGGCCATCGGCCACCGGAAAGCAATGTTGACGTTGGCAGAGCTTTCAGCTGCAGAATATGCCCGATTCAATGTGCTCTCTGTGCGCGTCCAGCAGGGGGAGATGCCAAGTCGTTCCCTTTGATGCATGCTAAGCACTTGGAACACAAAACATTTTCTCCATCCATACAATATTTATGCAAACTTAATTCTGCTTGTACTTATTGTGGCCAATATTTTAAACAGTTCATATTAAATCATATTTTTGTTGCGGCGTAAAATCATATTTTGTGCTTTTTAAAGGCATTTAAGTTCGCCTGCACCTTAACCAGTTGGGAATTATAAGCGAAAGCCCGCATAAAGCTTCATTTGTTGAATTTCTTGTAGCGTTCTTTGGAGCTTTAATCATTATATAAATGGAATTTCCTTTTTGTATGGCGCCGAATAAGTTCTGAGTGTAAAAGTGACAGCTTCTTAGAGAACTTTCAAGTCGCACATTTAAATAAGTTGAAAAGAAAGCCCATTAAAGCTTGTAGTTTCAAAGTTTTCTATAGGCACATTTAAATGCACTTTGAATGTTAGTGTAAAGCTCATTGAAAGATTACTTCAGAAAATATTTGACGAGCTCTTATGCTTTAATGCATAGATTGAATATAACTGTCGAGCTTTCGAGCTTTAATGAGCTTCTAATTTGTTAAGCGAAAAGCTCAACAAAAGCGCATAAAAGCTTGTAAGCTCATTAATAAAGGAGTAAGGAAGGCTCACGTAGCTATTTAAAATGTCCTACTATATCGTATTTACCTCTTATTTGTAGCTTATAAAGGATATAAAACTAACCCAATTTCGGCTCTCACCATATTCCTTATGCCTCCCGACGCATATATTAATCATATTGTTTTTTTTTTTAATGTGATTTTATTCATACTGAATTATTTATTTGGTTGACATTTATACTATTTACGCATACATTACTATTTGCCTTGCCTGGCCTTGACTTTGCGCTAGACTCCAGAAATTCATGCAATCTTTTCTTAGACATCAACTTGTATTTAATTTATGCTTTTGTTTTTACTTTAATTTCTTTGTGAGTACATAATTCTCTAATTCAAGTGACATTTGAAGTACTTGGATTTGGGTTTGGTTTTGTTTCCTTTTCTTTTTGGTGTACTTGGAAAAGTAGTGTGCCTCCTTCTTTTTTTTTTTTTTTTTTGTATTTTCTTTATATATGTTTTTCATTTAGCTTAATCTTAGGTATGTTTCAATCGTTCGACCAATTTGCAGGGCTGCTGCTCCGTTCTCGAGTACTAATAACTATGCAGAACTCTGCAATCCAATCTTACAATATATATGCATGTGTATGCCTCTACATATATATGTATATATATATATATATATATATTTGGACACAAAAAAAAAACACCAACTTTTACAACATTTGTGTGTGTAGATTGTATTCATAATATATATTTGACGAGGCCTGTTTCGCGCGTAATACTTATGTTTAATACTTGAATGTTTCTGATTAATAGACTGCCAGTTCAATTATCTTATGATGTGCACAAACCATAGACATATTTGCCCGATGCGAATCAAATGTTTACTTTGTGCTTTCGGTTCTCAATGCCCTGTTTGCAAAGTGTAAAGTGCGGTATATTGGCTTTGGTGCAAAGTCTGTTCGCCTTTTTGGTGAAGCTGGAAACTAGGTTTATTCATGCCTGTCTATATGCGCGCATCGAATAATTAGCTAAGATAATATCGATATATCGATATGCATGCAAACATATCGATAAATATGTAGACATAGATATATCAGTTGCTTGATAACTATATCTCTATACAAATTGATATAAGATCGATACATATCGATATCCTACATATTAGTTTTTGTGCAAATTCTGTTCGCCTTTTTGGCGAAGCTTGAAACTAAGTAGGTATAATTATGCTCGTCTATATGCTTACATCAGCTAATAAGCTGAGATAAGATCGACTTATCGATATATATATAGATATAGATTATCATCAATTGATTGCTATCTATATCGATATATATACTGATATAATATCGATACGTCTAAATACGTGTATGTGAGCTCATCTATTTGACCATTCAAGATAATAAGCTACGATAATATCGATATATCGATTAAAATAAACATATCGATACAAATAGAGACAGAGATATCAATTGATTGATGTACATATCTTTATATATATTGATATACTATCGATATATATCGATGCATCGATATTTTCACGGTTTCAGAGCTAGAGTGAGCACATTTTGACTGAAGCCTATGGTGGAAGTGCTACAAACAGTATTAAGATTTATCGATATATATAAACATATCGATAATTATATAGATATAAATATATCAATTAATTGTTATATATATACCGATATATATATTGATACATGATCGATACATCGATATTTTGCACAGTTTCAGAGCTTGAAGTGCTACAAAAATCGATATCATCTAATAAATTTATGGCCTATTTTCAGGTTTTTTTTGGAATTTGTGCGTGAGTATTATGCAGTCGGTGTGTTTCCTTTTGGTATTTTTTGCCAGCTTTGCTTTTCCTGTTTTGGGCTAGAGTAAACGAAATTTGACGAAACAGACGCTCGCAATGGTTGTGTATCTTATGTGTATATTACGAATAGCTCTGTAAACATTTATAATAGTATTTATCATACTTAAGATTTGGCCTTTGGTATGCAACCACCTTTCTTCTGCTCCTCGAATTGTTTTTCATTTTCATTTATATTTTTATTTCTCTTCCTGCCTTTACTTCGACAGACTTTGCCGGTGCCTAAATTTGTCACTGTGTGCGTGTACGTGGGTGTGTGTGTGCGTATGTGTGTGTGTGTATTGGTGGTGCATTACTTTGTGGTTTGTGCTGCAAAGAATTGACATATTTGGTGCTCCCAACTGGAACCTGCTGCTGCCACTCGCCCGCACACTCTCCCTCTCTCTCTCTCTCTCTCTCTCTCTATCTCTCTCTCTCTTGCTTTCTCTCCTACTGTGCTTGAGTTTTCTTTTGGCTGCTTTGCGTTTCCGCCTGGCGTTGACTAACAGCTTAAGTTTCCGGTGTGGAGCCGTGCGGGGGCGGACATAGCCAAGTTTTACAAACTTTGGCCAGAATGTGGAATGTGGTTGTTGTTGTTGCTGCTGTTGTTGTTGTTGTTGTTGCTGTTGTTGGTGGCTGGAATCAGGCAACGACATCAACTGATTCAATTTGCTGGCAATGCAGCTTTGATTTTCGATATTTTTTGTTGTTGTTGCACACCAATTACATTGCAAGGATCAGGGGGTGATAGGGGGCTGTGGATGGGTGGTGAGTCGGAAATATGTGTTAACTGCAAAGTCGCTTCAGTTACAGTTGCTGCTGCTGCTGCTGCTCTTAGCCCAAGATCTTCTTGAAATAGCTGACGGTTTCCGGCTTTGTTAGCGAACGGTGTCGATTTGGCTTGAATGGCGCCTCGGTTTCCTCCTGCAGGAAGTTGCGTCGTGTTGTGGCGCTCGTTAGCTCCAGCTCATCCTCATCTCCATCCCCATTCCCATTCCCATCCTCGGTCACGCTCTCGCCATCCAACTGCAACTTTGTGGCGCTCTGCATATCGATAGCAGCAGCAGATGTTGCTGCTGTTGCTGTTGCTGCTGCATTCGAGCTGTTTTCATTAGCTGTTGGCTCTTTTGTGGCGGCTGTTGGCGCCTCGCTAGTAGGCACTTTTCCAGCTGACATTGTTGTTGCTGCTGTTGCTGCTTCTTGTGTTGTCCTGATTGTTGTAACTGTTGGCGTCATTTTGGTTGCTGCGTCTGGAGCTGCTGTTGCTGCTGCTGTCACGCCAGCAACATTTTGATGTCTTGTCGTGGCTGCAGCTGCTGCAGTTGTTGTTGTTGCCAGCGTATTGGTAGCAAGATGCTCGGACTTGTGCTCGCCGTGCTCGCCATGCTTGGCAGGCGGCACATAGTGCGATTTGACCAGCAACATTGGCGGTATGAAGTGCGAGTTGTCCGCCGTTTCTTTGACATGTGGATGGGCACTTTCATCGCGATTTTGCTGCACCGGATGTATGGGATGTGCAATGCTAACCACGGTCGTTGACGTTCCCAATGGCATTGCTGTTGTCGTTGGGGTTGGGATGTTGCTGGTGCTCGTGATGCTGCTGCTCGTGATGCTGCTGCTCGTGATACTGCTGCTGCTGCCGTAGGTATTGGAAGTGTTGCCAGTGGCGGCAACAACTGTTGTATCTGTATCCGTTTCCATTGTCACATCCGTTGCTGCGGCTGGAGTTGCTGCTGTTGCTGTTGTTGTTATCATAATGTTGCTTTCGGTTGTTGTGGCTCGCGTTGCGGCTGCTATTGTTGCTGGCGCCGATGTTGTTGTTGTTGTTTGTGCTGTTGTTGTTGGCGGAGGTGTTGCTGCTGCTGTAGTTGTTGTTGTTGTGGGTGCTGCTGTTGATGTCGGCAAGGTTGTTGTTGCAACTGTCGATGTTGCTGCCATGGTTGTTGCTGCTGCTGTTGTTGTGGTTGTTGTTGTTGCTTCGGTTGTTGTGGTTGTCGCTGGTGCTGCAGTTGTTGTTGTTGTTGTTACTGCTTCTGTTGTTGTTGCTGCTGCTGCCGTGGTCGACTCCTTGGCACTTATTGCCGCCTCAGTTGCTGCTGTTGCTGTTGTTGTTGCTGCTGCTGCTGTTGCCTCAGTTATGGTCGGCATTGTCCTCAGGTCCTGCGGCAATATTTTCTTCTTATGCGGCAACGCCTCGAATATCTCATTGGACACATCGCTATCGCTGACATCCTCCGGCAGCTGCTCCTCGCTCAGCGCCGGCTGATCGCCCATCATCATGTCCAGATGGGATATCGGCTGCGGGCTCGTGGTCGTAGTCCTAGTCGTAGTTGTGGGCATGGGCGTGGTCGTAGTTGGGGCCTTGCGCATCTGGGTCTGATGCTGTGCCAACAGCTTCTTGGCGTGCTCATCGTTTATGTTCACCTTCTTGGCGGACTTCTTGACGGGCATGGGCACCTCGTCCGGGATGTGGTAACGGGCCACCGGCATTATCAGCCTGTCCAGGCTGAAGCGCTCGGCTGGCGGCGGCGGCGGTGCGACGGTGGCCACCTCGATCTTCATGACGCTGGCAGCATAGTTGGCCACCAGGGGCATCAGGTCGATGTCGTTGTTCTCGTTGTTGTCGGTGCGAATGCTCTTGATGATCTGCAGCGACTTAAAGTGCGAGTTGGTGATGTCGTTGATGCGTTGCGCCTCCAGCCGCTCCTTCGGGCAGATCAGCTCGCGCACGGCCCGCTCTCGATCCTGTAAATAGATGTTGAACGTCCTGGCTATATGATTGGGCCGTTCCCTGGCCACCACTTACCTCTTTGCCCTTGCAGCTGTGCCGCAGCAGACCCTCCTCCTGGCAGTTCCTGATCAGCTCAATGCTGGCCGTGTCCGCCATGTATTGCATGGTCAGGTTGGGCATCTCCTTCAGGATGCAGGCATCTGCCCAGCTGGGCACTGTGCACAACAAGAGGTGTTCCATCAGGCACTTGTTCTACATGTTCTAGCTCCATCTCTTTCTCACTCTGTCTCTTTCTCTCTCTCACTCCCTCTCCATTTTTTACTCTTACTCGCACTTCAAGCCCTTGCTCGTACTCTTACACTCTGTCTACTTCTTTCTTTCAGTTTCTCTCTCCGTCTCAGTCTTTCATTCGTTCTCGCTCTCTCTTTCTCACAAATATTCTCGCAGTTGATCACTTTATTTTTCGCTCTCCCACTTTATCGCTTTCTCTTTTCCCTATATCTTTCTCTCTGTCTCTCCTTCCCTCTCTCTTGCTCTCTCTCTCCCTCTCCCTCTTTTACGCTCTTACGTTCAGTCATACTTTCTCACTTCATCTCTTTTCTCTTTCTCGCTATCTTACGTTTCTCCCGCTCTTTATCACACTTACCTGGCATTTCGCACAGGAACGAGGCTGTCTCGGGACCGCCGCAGCGCAGGGCATGCCAACGATAGTCGCGTATGGGATCGATAACGGCACAGAGGGGCGCGTCCATCAGCGGCAATGACTCCGCCCAGTAGCCGGTGTCCACCACCAAGGGTCGTGAGTTGCTGTGTATGGCAAATAGTTATATACTCCATGATCTAAGCGCGGCTCAAATATATACTCTACATATAGACCCTTTTTTAGAGACATTTTATCGATATATTTTTGGTTTGTTCGATGTTATATTATGGTTAACTATTTCACAGCAAGCTGAACTGCCTGTTAAATGTTGACAGGCACTTGGCATAATATAGCACAGTAATATGTTAAAGTAGGTGCTAAGTTATTTTGCAAGGTGGCAACACTGCAGATGGTATATTTAACATGCGGATAAACTGTCTGTTCAATTCAATGTTATGATTTATCAAACGGCCCAAGGGCAAGTTAGCATTGAGCATGTCAACGGGTTAATGTGGCTGTTAAACTTAACAACCCTGAGCAGGGTTGCCGGATGGTGTTGAATCGAATTGATATGTTCCAATGAAATACTAAGAAAGCCAAGACTTGAACCAAAAACTGATTGCTTATTAGTTGTTGTGCCAAAGAAGGTTCACGAACTAAGCCTTAAAGAAAAAACGTTGGTTCAAATCGTTGTTAAAGCTTGGCAGCCAGTCTCGTTCTAGTCCTGTTAACGACTTTTAACTGGGACACATATCATTGCTCGCAAACCAAAAATACACATATCAACACGAACGACACAATTACAATAAAATGTTGTTGTTTGTTGTTGTTGTTGTTGTTTGTTGTACTTACGACCACATGAAGCGATCCGAGTTCTGCGGCCGCATGAGTCCAATCCAAACGATGTCGTTCACATCCAATTCCCGCAGCAGGTCGCGAGTTGCATCAAATTGAAAACTGTTGTCGACTGGCAGCACATATAAAAAAACACACACACACACACACACAACAACAGAAAAAGAAAAGAATAACAAAACAGGCAAAAAACAACAAAAAGGAAAGAAACAATAACAAAAGGGGAGCACAAGAATGGAAACGAAACAAATGGTTTTTATTTGTTCAATGCGAATATTCCTATTTAATTTGCCCAGCGCATTGTTTTTACGTGTTGGGCATGCGGCACATTTGCCAGCGACTGTGGCACCAGGACCACAAAAACCCAACCGAAGCCCAGCCCCAACCCGTCAGCCCGCCGAAGGACCCAACCAGACAGCTGCTAGTCTAACCCGTTGCCTCTTCCCAGCTGGTGTCCATGCTACAAATATTTGCACGAACAAAAGCAAAACAGAAGAAAACACAAAATATGATGTTACATCTGTCTGGTCTGCATGTGTGTTCGACCAGCAGATACCCTATACTTGAAGTTCAAGTGCTTTTATAAATATATTTGAGCCAGTTTTCTTAGCTTCAACAAAATATGCGTGGCTAGATTCTTAAGATTCTTTTTCGACTGTTAAAATGGAAAGCTGTCAATTCAAGATATAGGGCAATACATATTAGTACTTTTTACAGCTTTATATGCCATCGATTACATTAGCAGGGTATCTGCTAGTCTTCTACCTCTTCGCCATATTTGCCATACATTAGACTGAGTACAGAGTATATATCATCTATATCTATGCCAGCCACTTAAGACCTGATCATAGAGTAATTGATAGTTGAGTTTATACTTGCTCAGTGGTATTTATTTATATAATTACTTAATTCTTAAAAACAGGGTATCTATTAGTCAGTCAATAGCACAAAATACGGCATAGCTCGCTATATTTAACCCCTGTTATAGATCTGCATATAGGGTATGTGCTACACACCTTATTTATGGAATAATTATTTTACAGGGTATCTGCTAGTCGAACATTTCAATGTATAATATAGTAAAATATAGGTTTACTTTAATACTCTTAGATATACAGGGTATTCTCTCGTCGCCCATTTGCGCATAAAGCATTCCCTGTTTTTTCCCGTCCCCTCCTTTGATATTTGTTTTGCTTTTTCTTTTCTTTTCTTTGGTACATGCTGTTATTTGTACTTTGTAGTTCTGCTCCAACTTCTGCTGCTTCTTCTCCAACTTCTTCCTCTTCTAGTTGTGTCTCTTCTTTTTCTAGTTGTTGTTTCACACATTTACATGCATCCCTGCGCCTCAAATTGTTTATGCACACCGACACCCGTTCCCGCCTCCAATTCGCCACGCCCTCCTCCCGCTGCTAGTTGACCCGAGGAAAATTGTGCGCTCGAATGAACTTTCGCACACGAGTCGAGGGAAACGATGAGCCAAGCATATGAATCTATTTATAAGGATAAAGGACAATGCAATCCAATCAGCCAGTTTACTATTCGAGTCAGATTTGTCAGAAATACGTTGGGGAATCCTCGCCGCATGTCCAAGTGCTCTCGATAGGCATTCAATAGGATGCCAACGCGTGCCGAGAACGGGCTGTGTTATCCTTGGCAAGGACCTTAACTGATTTGCCTTGTACGACAAAGGAACAGAGTTCAAGAAACAAAAACGAACATTCAAAATATCCCAGAGATAAAATTTACTTTCAGATACTTTTAATGGGAGTGCTGATAGTTCCTATAGGTTATATGAAGCCTATTCGATATGGCTTTTGGGATATGTTGGGCAAATAGTGAAGTTCTTTATCAGAAAAGTTTTACGAATAAAAACCAATTTGGAGATCTCTTCTTCCCAACGATATGATATATATGTATTATATGTAGATACTCTTGAGATGATATATGTGATATATTTATTATATACAAAGTGGAGCTCCCAAATGCCCAGCTTGGAAAAGATGTATTAAAAAACAATATGTTTGCCAGGGAAGACTTCGATCGTTTAAGCCTATGGCAGCTATATATGATTTAGAGGTCCGATCCGACTGACTTGACGGATGACTGTGCCAAGTTAATTGAAAGAGAGGCAAAGCTCGGCTCAAGCATGTATAACATATATATGTATCTCCTGTATGAAGTCCAAGGCGTCTACTTCAATATAACTCCCTCTGCGAAGCTTTCTTCGGCTTCTAGTTACTTTGAATTTTGGTTACATTTCACCTATAGCTTATCCAGATCTGTGAAAAACCTTAAGAATTAAGTTTAGCTTATCCTTGAGAGACTTGCTCGCCCAGGGAGAGGAGCCTCTGCCTGTTGAGAGAACCCAAGCCTGAGCATTAATTGTCTGTCTATTGATTGTCTATATTATATATACCCTGTATTATGCATACCCTGTAATTAACACTTAGCTGAGGGCTCGCTTGAGAAACTCAGTCCTCTTCAAGGCCCTACGGAAGATTAATTATTTACTCCTTAGCGGAGTTCATAAATAATTGCTCTTGCTTGTCAGCAATGTTTGCTGTTTATCAGCTTTGGCAGCTTTTATCCGATTACTTTTCAGATTTTTGCAGATTTTCACAGATTTTCGCAGCTGTTCGAACAATTTTCATTGTCTTTCGAGTGGCTGGAACAATTTATCAACAATCTACTTACCGCATACTTATCTATTTACGAGGACCGTATGCACACGAGCCGTCTGACTGACCCTTTGTTGATTTAGTTGCCCCCCCCCCCCCCCCCCACGCCCCTCTGTGATCCTTACCCCTTGGGCTGATGTAGTTGGCCGCATTGCAGTGTCCAGTATTTGTCAAAAGGATTTATTGTTTAGCTGAGGGCAGGCATATGATATAGTCTAGCGACCAGGTCCTTCTGACACACCAGCACTGGGCGTGGCCTTGTGTGCACACACCACCTGCCCAGCCCCTGCCACCGCCCATGTCCTGCCCCTGCCCCTGTGCCTGTGCCTGGAAAGGCCATGGCTCTTGACTCTCTGGACCTTTGGCTGCGTCATTTTGCAGTTGCAACCTGGCTGCCTGGCTGCCAGGCTGCCTGTCCGCCTGGTTGGCGCCTGGCTGCATTGTCACAACAGCTGCCGGACATTTGCAATAACGCTTCAACCTGTCCAGCCCAGTTCTGTCCTGTCCTGTACTGTCCTGTCCTGCTCCCTTTTGCCACGCCCAGCGCTTTGTTAGCTGCAATGTGTGCTGCTCTCGTTGTCATTGGGCTTATTTGCATTTCACATTTTGTTGGCGTTTACCATTTGCTTTATATACACACTCTTTGTCAGCCTTGTACCTGTACCTGTACCTGCTCGTGCACCTCTGCCCCTTCGCCCTGCAGCTGCTGCTGCCACACAATGTCAGCATGTATTGAATATCTTACCTTTTGTGCTGCAAGCTTAACTAAAGCCTCACGTCGCGTCTTTGACTTGACTTTGCGGCTAGCTGTCGACTGCCTTATGCCTCAGTGAATCTACACCCTGCCGCCCCCCGCCCCGTCCCCTTGCACCGTCTGTCGCTTACCTGTCACCAGATTGGCATGATGGAACTGGCAAACGGCGTCCGCCTCGAACCAGGAGATGCGATCACGAAAGAAACGATAGAACACATTCAAGCCCTCCTGCGGCATGGTCCAAGTGTTGCTCACGTTCACCTGCAACGAGGGGGGCGAGAGAAGGCGGAAGTGGTTGTAGTAGATGAAAATGATGAAGAAAAAGAAGAGAAAGAAGAAGAGCTTGTAGCTGTGGCAGCTGAGCTGCATGAAAAGAATTTGTTTCGTGTCGCTTTGCTTGTCAGCGCCGGGCGCAGCTCTGTGCCGCTCAACGTGGCGTATGCTTAATGCATTAAGTATACGCCACGTAAAACGCTTACATTTTAAATGTTGTTCCGCACAAGCACACACACGCACACGCACGCACACACACATAATGGGGCAACAACATATAAAAAATACACACATTATGCATGCAAATGTGTGTGCGTGCGAGTGTGTGTGTGTGTGTTGTGCGTGCCTATGTGTAAAAGCGGCTGTAAAAAATATATTTAAAAAAAAAAGCGAGTATTCACAGCTTAGGCATACCGAAAATTGAATACACTTGCAGACATTATTCCAACGAATACTCTATTGATATATATATAAATTAGATATATGATATAGCAGTACGATTTGTTATAGCTTAACAAATATGTTACGAGCTGGGTCTAGCTCGTATTTGCTGAGTTTAGTCTAGATAAATCGGATGAAAAGCCGCAAAGTTGTTTATGCAGAGCTATATGATATAGTAATCCGATGCTGCATCAATTCGGGGCAACTTAAGAAACAAACAAATAAAATAACCTTATTTCTCTATGGACTCGGCTGTTGAAGTTAACCTTAGATGTGACAAAATGAAGATACCCTTTTTTTCAGAGCATATGAAAGTAAATGAAAATAAAGCACAAAAATCTTGCTTTGAAGGCTGGCATATGTAGGGCCCACCTCTCGACCCCCTTCCCAGTCATATGTATATATGTACTTCATTAGCTGAGAAGGCAGCCGCCGGCCCGACAAAAGGGGCGCCTTTTGGGGCGGGGTGCAGTCGCATAACGAGTAGAACAGCTGCCATAAAGCCATGCACACTTGGCATAGGCCAGCCACAGCCTCAAAGCGGCATATATATATATATTTTTTTTTTGTTTTTTACCTTTTTAATAAGCAACAGGGGCAACTGTGGTGGGGATTACGGGGGGAGGGGGGGTTCTGCGTTCCCTGAGAGCCTTCCGACGCTTAGGCTCTGACTACGCCGGCACATTAACTAATTACGAATGCAAGTCGTTGGTGGCGAGGGCGCAGAGCGCACATAAATAGGCATACGAACATAAGCCAGACAAATCTTTTTTTTACACATACACTCAGCGAAAAGTTCAGAGACTATTCCAAATTACTTCAACCAAGTATATTTAGGTGGACAAGCACGCATTAGAGCTACATTCCAACAGCTGATCACAATATTCAAAAGTTCCTGTTAAAATGCAAATGGTGTCATAAACTTTGACACAAATACTTATCAGCTAGTTTAGCTGCCGGCTAAATTTTAGTAGGTAAAACAGCTGTGAGTCAGAGAAGCAAGCGAAATAGTGCTCAGCAACGTGTCAAATGCGGTGTAGCAAGCGCAGCCAAATGTATGGGCAGGTGGCAAACTTAACTAATTAACAGCGAGATAAGCTGCCTGGTAAATATTCAGAGTTAACAACAACTTATATGTCATTCTCCTCAACTTCAAAACACAGCCAACAAAAGCTTACAAGTAATAAACACATACTTTCTCAAATAATATTTACCAGCTAGTTTAGCTGTCGGCTAAATGCAAGCAACCACGAAAGTTCAAATACAGATAAGCCAGAAAAGTGTTCAGCAAATTGCCAAAGTCAGTGCTACAAGCGTTGCCAGATGTACTGCAAGGTGGCAACACTGGAAATCTCAACTAATTAACAGCGAGATAAACTGCCTGGTAAACTTGCGCAACAACAGTTCACCAATATTTATCAAGTACTTTAGCTGCCGGCTAGCTAACGAATAGAAAAAGAAAAGGAAGAGATTAACAACCAGCTCAAGTGTTGGCTGTGCAGTTTGACAGGCACATTAAAGAGGCCTCCGCTGATGCGGAAGGACGTGATTTTTTGTTGTTTGCCAGGCAACGCACAGCCTGCTAATAAATGAAAAATTCTTGACTTAATTTTCATTGTGCATATTTTGTTGTTATTGCCATTAGCCATATTTCGAAGGGACCTGCGGCTCATTCCTTAGAAAATTTATTGTTATAAATTTCTGTTATTTTTTGTACTTATTTTTGTTTCTTACGCAAGTTTTTTTTTTTTTGTTTGCCGCTTTCAAATTGCAATTAAAAGATGAAAGCACACTCGCGCATGCTTTTCGCGTCTGTCAAACAATTTCAATTAAAAGTTAATTAAGTTAATGAAACGCTTTTTGGCTCGTTTTTGCACTTTGTTGCCTCACACAACAACGAAATAAAGCGAAAAAATAACTTTGGCCCACGCGGCGTATGCGCAATGCACATTCTTAATGGTCTCCCCCCTCGCGACCCCACGGCATCTCGATAGCCAGCTTGTATATGAAATAACAACATTTGTATTCATTTGATGTCGGAGCTGTTCTCAATTTCCTTGAACAACGCGTCTTTAATGAGCTCGAATATTTGCAAATATTATACACAAATAAATATGCATAAATAATATTTGCAAATAATATTCGATCGCATTAAATACCTTTGTTAGCTTTGTCAGCCCTTTTGGATTATTTTCGAATTTTAATTCAATTATAATGAGCAGCTAAGCCTTTTTTTATTTTTGTTGTTGTTGCTTTTTTATTTGCCTTTGATGCCTTTCATCAAACTCGTCTGCCAATTAATCATCATTATCTATAATACCTGCTGCAATTTAACAATTTCATTTAGCTTAAGTATATATTTTAAGCCTAAATGTTTATTTAAAGTGTAAATTCAAAAAGAGCCAAGCTCATCCGTCGGACTCTCTCCCTGTCCGAACGTCGCGATCTCGACAAGCTGCAGCAGAGTCTGGAGTCTATATATTTACCATTCTATATATATTGCACATTATGAATACGTTTATCATTTTGGAGATCTGGCATCATTTGAAAACTTTTAAGGCCAGATACAGCAAACAGGAAAGAAGAAGCCAGAACACTTTCTGTCTCGCTCTCTCTTCTCTCTTCTCTGTTGTATATACACCCACATTACAGGGTATATCATATAAGCTATATCTGATTTCCGCACATTTTCGCTCTTTGACTCTCGTTTTCTCTCTTGTATAAGTCGCAAAATTACAGGGTATCTCATGTGCAGCTGTATCTGATTTCGTGCCCTGCAGGCTTTCTTTCCACAATATCCATATTTTCTGTTATCGTACTCTCTCCCTCTTGTATATAGCATCACATTACAGGGTATATCGAGCATCTGCTTACGTGCCCTGCAGGGTTTTTCCCACATTTTCCATACTTTCTCGCTTCGTTTCACAATGTTGACAGCCACAAATTAAATGTAACAATTTTATAATCTAAATAAGTGCAAAGCAAATTGTTTAACATGTGTGTGTGTGTGTGTGTGTGTGTGTGCGTGCGAGCAAATGTTCATTCCATTATGCAATCATAATTATTCAATTACTTATTTACACACGAGAACTTCATGAATTATTCGCAACGTTTACAAAATGTTTAACAACACAAACAAAACAAAAATTAAGTGATATTATTATGAAGCATACGCCGCGTGCGCCCAAATACATTTAAATATAAATAAAAGATGCGAAACAACATCGGATTCCGCTGCCAATAGAACCAATCCATTTCCATAAAATAAGTACCTGTATATGTATCGAATATATATTTTAACATAATATAAATCCTTGGCTTCTCATGTGTGCAAAAAACTGTTGTATTTATTGTTTTTTTTTTTTGTTGTGCAATGGAAAAGGATAAATAATCAAATAAAAGCAAGCGGCCCAATTGCAATCGGGTGCCAACGACTGCGTAATACGCGCTTAAATGGGAAAAGCTATCGATTTAATTTTTGATCGAACCTGGGAGGAGTTCATCGATTGTTTAAAATGGTCGTCAAGAATCTCAATGTTGTTATCGATTGCACTTAGTCGAGTTATGATATCGATTGCAGTTATCGAGTTGTTTTATCGATTACAGTTATCGATTTATGTTGTCGATTGCAGCTATCGAGTTCAGCTATCGATTGCTGTTATCGATCGAAGAGATCGTTTGCTGATTTCAATTGCTGTTATCGATTGCTGTTATCGATATATCAACTGAATTAACTTACAACAGGTTTTTCAGCAGCATTTCTTCAATATCTGCTCCTATTTTCATATTATCGACATAATTCTTAAGGCAAAACCAGAAGATTATAAGAGCTAGATATACCAAACTAGGTATATGGATTGTTGCATAGTAAATACATATAAATAATATTTCAGTTTTTGGTCAACTAACCAAGTTTCTCACAAAGTAGAAAAAGGAAGCCGGGATCTCACCTAGCTAAGTTCTTCAATGGAGAATAAACTGGATGACCTTTGGAATGATTATACTTCCGGTCGCTGCAAAACCTGCTAAGTTGGACTCTTAACGCAGCAGAGCTTTGTGCTTTGTGTCCGAAAATGAATATACACTGTTGCGTTTCGTGAGAAGAAGAGTATTATAAACGGGCCAGAGGCTGGGCATATGCAAAGGAGGGTCTGGAGCTGGGGCTGGGGCTGGAGGTGGAGGCAGCTGCAGCAGCCTTACAACACACACAGTTTGTTGACTCTTTTGCCTTTTATTTTGCTTATTTTTCTTCTTTTTTTTTTTTATTGTGCTCTTTTGCATTTTTTGTGCTTTTCTTTTTTGTTTTTGTTGCTTTTTTTCGGGCTGGGCTGGGCTCTGTGTGTGGGCAGGGCACTTAGCAACTTGGAGTGCAAACAGTTCAGGTTCTTCAGTTGTTTGACTGTTTGCCTCGTTATTCTTTGTTTGCAGTTATGATGAAGACGCGCAAGGGCCGGCCTTTGCACTGCGAGCCTGTTACAATTTCAACAATAGAATAAGTGAAAGCATAAAAACAATAAAATGCTTTTTAATACCCTGCACCGGGTCACAAACAACAGCTGGCTGTCCAATAGCTTGCCTGGAAATCAGCGCAAGTGCAGCTCAACTCTGAGCCAAACATACTGAGACTGTCATATATATGGCATAGTATGCAGCACTCTTCAACATATGTATGCCTGTCTAGGTAAAGTTGATGCACATAAAAGGCAATACATGCCCTCAAGGGTATTCGTAAGTGCAGCAATCTCGATAAGTGCACGTTTACTTGATTTCTGTTGTATAATTTCGGCATTTGCATTTCGGCCCCCTTTTAGCCCCATTCCGTATCGCTATTTGCCCTGCACTTAGGGACAAGTTTTGCGTCCGCTTTGTGTTTGTGCAGCCTTTCGAGAGAGTAGGTGCAAGCCAAAAGGAAGCAAAAGTACAGGACAATGCCTTGCTGCTGCCTAGCAGCAGCCTCTGCCTTTGTCTTTGTGCTGCGGAAACCAGGACAAGGGTCCGGTTAAATCTGGCCAAAAGCCATGGAATATAGAATATATATAATTAGAGAATGTGGCCGTAAAGCTATAGAAATTAAGACGCATTTAACAGGCGCTCAATTCTATGTAAATGTTGCCTTTTTGCGTCTCAAATAAATACACGGCGCCCAACGTGGGAATGAAGCACCGTTAACGAGCATTATGTATTCAGCTTCACTGGCAAATAAATTGCTTCCCATTCGATTGCTTCCTATTAATAATGGCTGAATTAAGCCACAATAATTGCGTGGTATACACAGTGGGTATCCGATAAGCGTGCCCAGCATACACGAGTGCCAATAATTTTGATTGCGTACTGCCCCCCCTCCAAGGCCTGGCGGTCCATAAGCTCGATTGGTTCCAATGGCACTTTGTATATTCAAATTCAACGTTCGAAGCACACTTTATGCATAGACAGGGACAGGGACAGGGACGGGGATAAGGACACAAACACACACAAATGCTTTGAACAAGTGGCGTGACAGCGGCGCTTAAAAATCAAAAGTGTGCAGCATCCTTGCCACTAGATGCCATACATAGATAGGGTGCGACAGGCACACAGACGACAGGCGACAGCCGACAGGCTTCCAGCTTTTTTTTTCACATAGCCTAAAAGGGTATAAAGGCATTTTGCAAATGTATGAAACAGGTGGAGTACACATGCCTGATCGGCATGAAGGCCAAGCTTTAGGAGCTTGAAACTGCATTTTTGTTTTTGTGCTCGGATTAAGTTTATTTCGAGTCATCGATAACTTGTCACGTTTTGCACGATATCGACAAAAATCGATATCTATCGATCTTGTTTTTTGCCATATCTCGTGACTTACAAAAGCTAGAGACCCCAAGTTTGGTATATAGAGTCTCGCATAGCTTATGCAAGGCCGGAGAACTTTGGCTCTTGAATACTTTCAGTCATTTTAGGTGTAGAGTATACATCTGAACTTTTGTATGTACAGACACGTGATTGCACTGAAAATCATATAAAAATCGGACTATAAAGACCGAAGATAATCAAGAAAGGAAGCAGAAAGAAACGCAAGGCAGGAAGGAGAAGATATGTGCTGCACGGAAGCTGGCGCCGGGTTCAGGGTATCTTCTAGTCCGGAGCACTCCCAGTTTTTCTTCTTTTTCACTTTGGCAGGAAAGTGGGGAAGGGGGGGGGGGGGGGCTGGTTGACGTTGAGGGTTTGGCTGTCGAGCGTGGCGCACACCTGTATTAGCAATCCTTTTGATATATTGTAATATTTTATGCATGCCAGCATGCCTTCTAGTCATTTTAGGCCCTTTCTCTAGTTCAATCTCTCGACAGCGAAGTGAACATATTTTTTACTTTATGTTTTTTGCGTGAAGGTGAACTTAACTATGTCAAATGTCATGTCATTCGGCGACTCCCCCCCAAGCGAAAGAGCAAGCAGAAGGTGTGTGCCCAGCAAAAGGCAAAACAAGGCGAAATATCTACACACATGCAACACCTGTCGTTACATTGTCAGAACGCGTTCGTTTGAGCCTGCTTCGTGATTGTTGAGTGCCTCTTATGGCCATTAAGGCAAATGTGGCCCAAATGCTGCCACACACCAGGCCAGCGTGTGCGTGTGTATCCAGGCTCTGAATAAAATATGTATCTTCTCGGTTTCAGCAGACACTTCAATGCACAAAGTTATTTGCTTTTACCATATGATTTCCAAAGTGCTGGCAATTTTTTGTCATTTCCTGGGAAAAGGCGGGCGAGTTTGTCTAACCGAAATATGAGTTTATCTAAAGTATAGTTATTTTAAGCGAATACCCAAACCAATTTATTCATTCAACTCATCTAATATGCAGTGCATTATGCTGCAGAATTTCATTTTAAATGGCGCCCAACGTGCGTCGCAAAGATCTCCCGCTGAGCGTCAGTTTAAGTTATGCTCACTTGATTCCAATTCCAATTATTACCAGCCTTAAGAAAACACATTTAAATCTAATAAAGAGCTTAAAATCAAATATAGCCCAGCATTTGGCCTGAGACACAGTCGGAATAACTCTCGTTCAATGAATATGAATGCTGTCCGAGCTCAAACTGTGCAAACAAATTTAATTTGTATTTGTTTAGAATATTAGAACTGCTCGAGCATATTCTGTGTGCCAAATCAACTAAATAATAAAACAGCAGGCATTTGTTTCGTGTCGATGGACACAACAATACAACGATTATCTTAACAAGAAATCGAATCGAGAAACTTTTCCCCAAGCATTTACATCTAGTCGGCGCCAAGACCAAGCTCTCTCTCCCTCTCTTGAAGCTGATGAAGCTTTCCTCTGGAACGCTCAATTTGTTGGATATATTTTTTTTTTTATTTTTGTTTGTTCTGTTTGCTTCTATTTTATTTTTTGAAGCATCTTTGATAAACGCTGGAACGACGAACAGACAGACAGACAGCCGGACGAACGGACGGACTGACAATCAGGTGTATTGTGGGTTGGTTGGGCTGAGTTAAGGGCTGCTCCATGGGCGTGGAGGGATGGCCGGGCGCGGGGGAGGGGGGCGAAATGATAAATAACGCTTTGAAGAAGAGTTTAGCAAAAATAAATGAGATTGCCGCATAGGTGGGTTGCCCAATGCTTGGGTGTGGCCAGACTTATAAATAAAACGACGAGCGCACACACACACACACACACGCACACACAGAAGTGCATTGTCCTTGATGTGACCCGCGTTGCCAGCTGCAAGTGGCAACAGTCTGTGCCACAAGAGTCGCAGCAGTTGCAACATGGCAACGATTTTTGCCAGCGTCAGTCGAAATTGTGGACAAAATGACGTCACGTCGATGTCGACCCCCCTCCCCCCTCCCCCGCCACCCACCCCCTCCCTCTGTCATTCTTCTGCTTACACGCCCCGCAGGCTGCCTGTCAAGTGTCGCGCTTGCTTGCATTCGAGTACAAGCTGCCAAAAATTTATTAAAATTGAACACACGAAGACATGTCAACCAGTCAGTCATCCAGCCTGTCAGTCAGTCAGTCATCCAGTCAGTCAGTCAGTCAGTCAGTCGCGGGCAACTATACATCATGTGTACGTGTACCTGTGTATGTGTGTGTGTGCATGCATCAGAATATTTGAGCACATATGCAAGCAATGCACTTTACAATTTACAGCTCTTGAGCTGCTGTTAAAGCAATTTAACTGCTAGTTAAAGTTCGCACATCAATATTTAAAACATAATGTGTAGTTAACGGAAGTAACGACTACGTAATGCCCTGTTTCAGGTGTATTTACCAATGAAATCTGTTGAAAAGTGTCTTCCTGATTATTAACTAACAGAGTCTCAGACTGTAAGTGCAAGACAGTGACTGTCAAACTGTAACCTATTGTTAATTTTAACATTTCATTATAATAATAACAAGCAATGCAATATATATTATTCTAATCTGTAATAATTTAGCGTATAAACTATCCAAGTTTTTAACAAATATAACCCTATAAGGGCCCATAACTACAAAGATCTCGGCGGAATCATGTCGTTAATCCATTGTGAATTAATAGCGATTAACAGTTGGTTTATTAAATGTTATCTTTGGCTGTTAAATCAACTTACATTAACATAACATCATGTAACATATAACATATAACTTACAGGTCTCTGGATGTTAAACAAACTAACAGAACATCTTAACATCTTACCTTCTAACATGAATAACATAGAGTTTACTGTTAACATTCTTAAAGAAATTTATGCTGCATCGTTTTCAGAACTCCTGGGTGTGAACGGCGGTCATTAGGACGCCGCCAAGTATGGATACCATTTGCCAGAATTGGAAGCGCTTGTAGAATATGATCGGCATGTTGGTCAGCGAATAGGGCAGCTCCCACCAGGCATAGGCCTGAAAGCTCTGCGTGGCCAGCAGCAGGAGCAGCATGGCCGTGGACCACTTCAGACGGTAGCCGCTCAGCACGAAGATGATCAATAGCTTCACACCGTAGCGGTGCAGCAGCTGCCAGGGCAGGCCATCGTTCAGGTTCTTGTATGTCAAGTAGGCCACAAACAGGAAGCCGCAGCGGACCAGACGATGCGGCGGTATGGTGGCCAACAGTATGGCTATGACCAGGGCAAAGACATCGGCGTACATTTCCATGTTCCAGAACATGGGATTCGAGGCCACACGCAAATTGGCCAACAGGCTGAGTATGCCGGCGGCCACCTGGCGATTGCTGTCGAAGATTACCATGAAACAGGCCAACAGCTGGCCGGCGACAATGCAGGATAGATAGAGATTGGCATAGACTTCGCCGCAGCGCCAGTTCAGGTTGAGTAGGGTCCGCTCCAGGTCCCAGTCGTGCAGCAAATGCACCGAATCGGCCAGAAAGTTGCAGATAATAAAGAATCTGGCCAGTGTGGCCAAAGCGCTCTTCAATTCCATGGGAAGCGGCTCCATCTTCGCTTCAGAGTTGAGTTGAGTTTTTCTTCTTTTGTTTTGTAAAATTTTAGCACGGACCACAAAATATCGAAAGGTTGTTGTTTTCTTTTTGGAACTTTTCAAGAGTTGTTTGTTTTTTTTTTTTTTGTTTGGAAGAGAGCTAGTTACACATGGTACGAAAAAAGTAGAATTACTGACTCCCTTTTTTGGCTCGGACTGTAAGCCGACAGCTCAATGAGCGCCTACTGCGATTGAGCGGCAAATGTTTTGAGTGTGATTTGTTCTAAATGAGTGCTGTCTAGTTTTACGAGAGAGCAGTTTGGTTAGATCGCACGCTCATTGCGCTAATCTCTCTCTCGCTCTCCCTCTCTGTGACATTCTCACTCTGACAGTGTGTGCGCCATGCAGATCCTACAGACTTGGTGCGAGCGAGAAAGAGAGCTGTTACACGAATTTAAGCTTTCATTTAGCCTTGCTCAATTACTTAAACACGCTCTCAATCTCTTTGACGCTCTCTGCCGCTTTCGCTGCTGCACTTGACATGTATTTTAAGCTCAAGGATGGCAACGTAATTTGCTGTGCATAGTCTAATCCTTGCGCTACTTACTGTCGACCCAATGCTGAATAATGCACTCAAAGACGCAAAATATTAACGGCCCTCCGTAACCATGTGCATGTGTGTGTATCTGACATACATACATATATACATATACATATGTATATGCACATACATAAGTCATTTCTCATAGATTCTATGATAAGCACATGAGAATTGCTCTGCTTTTATTTTCGCAGCCAGCTTAAGTGATTTACTTTAATAGTTGCATGCATACACAGCGCTTGGCTTGTTTAAGGGATGCTGCGGCGGAGCGGTGCAGGGGGGCATTGCCAAGTCGTTGCAGCTTTATCACAAGACGTTACGAATGGCAGCTGAAAAGAAATTAAATTGCTCTCACCCAACACTGCACTAAAAAAGAAACGCACAGCAATGCGCTGCCAGCTGCTGACAGAGACGGAGACAGTGGCAGCAGCAGCAGCAGCAGCAGCAGCAGCAGAAACCAGCTCAGTCGCTGCAGCTGCTGACGACAACTGAGAGTGTGTGGGTGTGTTTCTCCCTCTGTTTGACTGTCTCTCTGTATGTGTGTGTGGGTGTGTGCAGTTAAAGTTTCTAATTGAAATTGAAAGAGAGCGCTGGGACGCTGATGGCTGCTGTTAAATTTGTATTCAGAATGTCAGCACGAGAGGGTGAGAGAATGAGGCTGAGCAAAGATGGTGGCCAAGCAATTGCAATGGTTATTTTGTGCCGACACGAAAGCAAAGACAAACGAATGTTAACGTCATTTGCTGCAGCTTTTGTTGCTTATGTTTTGGCTGTTTGTCAATATGGCTGCCGCAGCCATGCATGCTGCAAGTGTGACCAGACACAATCGTTAAGTGTGGGATTCTTTAAGCCGTCTGCATATGGTACGTATGTATGTATGTATGTTTTTTTTTTTCAATGTAACTGTTTTCTTTTTTTTTTTTGTTGTTATTTGGTTTCGTGTGTGACCTTATTCTTTGCAGGTTATGTCTTGCTTCTTCTCAATTTGAATAAATTGATTTCCCAATTCCTAAGCACTTCGACCAACTAAGTACTAGAAGAACTCTTCTTTTCGAACTCAAGCTCAATTAAACGGGCGCTTGAAAAGTTTGAATAACCACAAACCCGACCAGGTGCATGTGTTTAAAATTGAAGCAACTTCATATCGTCCATTGTGTGGTCTGTGTGTGACTTGCCTCCCCTCCCTCCTCCTCCTCCCCCTGCGGCCCATTGACAAACTTTGAATGTACCACGCCCCCGGAGGCTGTACAGCATCCAGCTACAAGTTGACGGGGGCCATGGAGTGGGCTGCGGATTCGATTTCTAATTAAAAGCGCAAAACTTTTGGCCATTGATCGAAATCGAAATTGTCGGAATTGTCGCACATGATGTGGGCATCTGTCTGCGGCTGAAGCTGTGGGCTGCGCCCGCAGCTTGAGGGGCGTGGCAGGCCGCAACGTCTGCCGCAACAATAGCAAATGAATTTGTGCGGGCCGCAGCTGCAGTGTTATATATGACAGAACTGGCAATGCCACAAAAAGGATGAGATATGAGATATCCTAGAAAGCGAAAAAGAATTCCACTCAGTGTTGGAAAACAGTTGAGCACGGCTACATGTTGTTCTCTACATCGTTGTTGGGGCGAATTGCATTCAAGTTTTATCTAACAAACTTGTTCTCATTTAAATTTGCTAGAAAAAAGTACAGCTTAATTGAAAATACTTGATTTACCAACACTGGTAGAGTTTTACCAGCACTGGTATTGCTTTACCAACACTGGTAGAGCGCGTTAAGTGAAAAACCACTCAATTCCAGCTACTTTTTGTTACGTCACAAGCATAAGAAGCGTTACTTGCAGCAGATCATGCCCCATTTCGCCTATGTACAGGGTATTGAGGTGGCAATGAAACGAAGCGTGCCAAAAGAAAAGTTGTTAAACTTGTGTCACATTTAATTAACATGAATCAGTGGGTTTTTCTTGCTGCAGGGGCCAGGAGTGGGGGCTACGGATGTGTGTGAGTGTGTGCGGGAGAGTGTGGGCGGGGGGCGGGGAGAGCAGAGTTGGAGCACGCTTTAGACGCGTGTGCGGGCAGAATAAGTCTTTGCGCATTTGTAATTTGTTGGCTTAACGTTTGGCAATAAACTTTAAATTTTCATGACCACGAATCATTAAACTTAAACGAGCAGTAAATTAACAATTAATGCACATGTGTGTGTGTGTGTGAGTGTGAGTTTTATGAGCTCGCATACACAAATTACTTAATGCCATTTTTTATTGTTCAATTATTAAGCGGCAGGCTCGGTTAGCATAACAAGTTCAACACGCATTAGAGCCCAATTGCTGGAGACTCAGGACTCGGCACTCGGGCAAAGGCAGCCCCAACAACAACAACAACAACAACAACAACAACAACAACAACAACAACAACAACAACAACAACAACAACAACAGCTGACTGCCTCGATTAATGGGCCCTCATTTGTTATCAATGATGCCCAGGCGCACGATAACATTTCAACACCCTGCATAGCTTCCCCTCTCTCTCTCCCACTCTCTCTCTCTCTCGCTCCAGACACGCACTTGGGCAGGACCACAGCCATCAGCATCAGCATCATCTCATCATCATCATCATCATCATTATCATTGTGGGCCCATCGTCATCTTGGCGTTCTAGGCCTCATTATCATTATCAGCAGCATTTATTCTAGGCTCGAATTTTGACCGCCTCAAATGTCCGCAAATTAATTTGCCTTTGCCTTTGCCTTGGCCTTTATTGCTCCACCAATAACAACAACAACAACAGCTGCTCCTCTTTCTGACCCTGTTAATTGAGCTAGGCAACTGAAGTTTCTATACGACACCACGAAAATCGCACATCAAAAGTTCAACTCTTCGATAAATGCAGTTGAATCTCATGTAAAGCACAACTGAAGGGCAGAAGGGAACCCTTCTAGAGTATATCTATAGAGCATGGAGTATATATGTAGATATATATTCTTGCTGGTCCGTCAGTCGATGTGTCTGTTCGCACTCTTCAAGTCAACATAGCTGCTGCCAAGTCTCGAAAAGTAAAGTTTATTTCAATTTATCGATTGCTTGATATCGATTAAAATCGATAACGAAAAGCTGCTCTTATCATATTTCTCGGAACTAAAAAAAAGTGTACAGCTAACGGAAGAAGCTCAAAAAGAAGTTATCGTTGAGTGCAGGATATCTTCTCGTCGGTCACTCCTGACTTCTTGTCTTCTACTATTGAAATATTTTTGTTGTAATTTTTCATTTATTGTTTTTTTTTTTTTTTTTTTTTTTTTTGCATAACTCTCGCATTTTTTTTGAACTGAACTTCTTGCTACAAGAAAGTTTCTGAAGTCTTCACGAAAACTTTTGACAAGTGAAACATTGGCGCCCTTCTGCTGCTGTTTGCAATCGATTATAAATCCGAAGTGTTTTTGGGTTATTTTGGTATTGCTAAATTAAACAGACTATTTAAGCACTTTGCAGTGGTAAACTTTTCTCAACTATTTCAAGAGTGTTGTGGGCCACACATCTTCATTAACTCAAATTGATATATTATGTTTCTCAGGAATTGTTAGCTCGTTGTAACTCCGGCATCAAAAGTTATTGGTTAACTCTGCATTTTATCTGGTATTACATTCCAGCCTCGAATCAGTTTCAGGCGCATTTTTAGGATAAATTCACACAGTTTCTCTAGCTCTCTGAACATTTATCGATAAGCTCGATAACTGCCACAGTGAGAAGCTATCGAGCTATCGAGTCAAGCACTTTCAGCTGTTATCGATTTACGGAAAGTGTATTTTGCAGTCGTACTGTAACTTTCCAGCTGGCATTGATGAATTGTTGTTGAGTCTGTCAGTTCAAGTTTTATCGAAAAAACAAAGCGACAGCAAACGCTCGATAACTATCGATCAATCAGAGTTGCACCTGAAAATAGCTGAAGCTAAAGCTAAGGCTTAAACTAATAGCTGTTTGTTGTTATGTTTTAGTTGAACTTCTAGCTAAAATTGTGGCTAAAGCTAAAACTATAGCTAGAATATCTGATATTGCAGCCATATCTGCAGCTTAAATAAAAGCTAAAGATTAAGGTAATAGAGCTTAAAAGATAGCTCAAGTTTTAGCAGGAGTTGCACCTAAAATTGTGGCTAAAACTCTAATTAAAGATGGTGTTATAGCCAAAATTGTGGCTAAAGCTCTGATAAATGTTGCAGCTAAAGTTGTAGCCAGGGTTGTAGCTGATATTGTAGCTATATATTTAACTAACATAATAGATAATATCGAAGGCAAAGCTGCAGCTAAAAGTTAGAGTAAGTTGTGGCTAAATCTGTAGCTAAAATTTAAGTTGAATGTCTTGTTAAGTTGCAGCTTAAATTATAGCTAAATTTCTAGTTAGGTTGTAGCTAAAATTGTAGCAACTTACATTGAAGCTCAGGTTAAAACCTTCATTGTGGCTAAAAGCTGTAATTAAAGTTATAGCTAAAATTCTAGCTTAGCTGTAGCTTAAATTGTAGCTGAAGTTGTAGCCAAAGTTCTAGCTGATAATTGAGCTACATCTGCAACTTTTATAGTAGCTAAAGTTGCAGCTAGAATT